TTACCACACATGATGTTAGGATCATTTCCTCTGAAGTTTTTACACTTATAACTCAAAAGCTACATATCGTAGTTTTTGCAGTGGAAACGTTCTGTTCGTATGATTTACTATGCCAAAATGTACTGTTAATACTTTTGTATAACTTGGTTTGCATTTTCATGTTGTCTATGTCGAAAATGGGCTAATGCTTCCAAAAACGCACTATTTCAAAAAAAATTTAAAAAAAAGGAAACATCAGAACATGAACGACACATGTTTGTTTTGTTCACGAATGTAGTCTTGAATTTGGTCGCAAGACTGCAAGACAATTTTATGCAACTCAGTTTGGAAAAAATCCGACTATCAGAGTTTTATTTTTTCTGCTGTCGGGATATTTCTCAACGTGAGTTTGTTTACACCTATTTTGCCGCACCGCTGCGATTATCTATAAGCACAAATTTCTTTGAAACGGCAGTTCAAAGAATGGAAAAAATATTTTGTTCTAGGCAGCGAAAAAAAAATTTCCCTTTTCTCTAACACTCAAAATTTGCCACTATGTTGAATTAAACACAGTTTGTTGTGCTCAATTCTGCATGTAAATCTTCTTCTCCGTTTTCTAATCGATCGCATTATTTATATGCTGTATAACTATATGTCACTCGGTTCATATTATACAATGCCTTATTTTATTATACTTGCTAAAATATCACATATTGCTTAACTACTTCATGTAAAATATAAATTCAGAATCACTAATGTCATCCAATATCGCCCAATACTTTTGGTTTCTATATAATTTCTGCTCACCACGCTGTTTTTTTATTAACATGTTCTCAACAAGTTCCCTTCCAACCCACAACTTCCTCGTATCAACATTCAAATACCGGTCACATTATACTCCTAAAATCTCCACGCCAACTAATCCCCTTTGTCGATTTCCGAGAATATAACACGCCTATTCACTTCCTACAACTACATGTTACTGCCTCTTCCAAGCAGTCCCCTACGTCACATCGTTCATTCCGTATATCTCTCCGCTTGAGGACAAGCTCACTCTATACCCCTAGGATGAGGTGAAGGTCGTGTTTGGTTATCCAGTCCGCCTAAGCCAACTCCTCTACTCAATCAAGCAGAAGATAATGGTACCAAATCGAAGTTCCTTATGGTCTCGCCGTAACACGTGTACTCTTTACACACGTAACTCGGAAGACATTCAATAACAGCCGAACAAGCTCGAGGACGAGCTTTCTGAAGGAATGGAGATGTCGGGACGCAGCTAAGCTCCGCCTGCTGCTCTCCCGTGAGCTGGCCGAGAAGGTCAGATAGAAGCCAGTGACCCCCTACGACCGCGCACCGTAAGGCTGCCTTGTCAGTCTTCCCCCTTCCCCTTTCTTGTAATATATGTAGATAATAAATATATATAATACCAACCTGTACCGCTACACATCAAGCTAGGGCCCGTACACCCCTAGACTTGACACTCCCAGGTTGCGCGGGAGCAACCTAAAATGGAAAAACTTTTACAACTCCTCTCATTCACATAACTTTTTCATAATTTTTCGTACTTCTCTTTTGGTCATCGTCGCGGAGGCACTTATCAACTTTGGTGGCTCAGTATTGCTTACGCGTTGTAAACAAACCAATTGTTTATTTTTGTGTATAAAAAACGTGTTTTAACAAGCTGAATTCGTGTGCACACAAGTTTATGCATTAAACGTGTTTCTAACGTGTTAATGTATGTACCTGTTGATGAAATGACATAAGCGCTACGGATTTGACCTTACCCAGAATTAGAGTCAATATTCAAAATTTCGGGAATTCCCTTGGAGACTATACGAGTTCCCTCTTGCTTTGTCCTCCGAAAACGACATCCAGGGTGTGAAAGCGCCACCTTTGCTGAGCCCTGCTTCGGATGCGTACGCAAAGGTTATGACTTCTACGCGTATGTCTGCTCCGTCATGGAAGTGTCTGCGATGCTTGCCTAATGGAGTTGCAGAGTTCAATTTTTTGAACCTGTTGGGTGTTCCTTGGTGCGTATGCATAGAGGGCGCCCTGTCTCGCCAATTTACTTGCCTCCGCATGTCTCGCAAGTGATGAGGTACACTGCTCCCGCCACGCGCAATCGCCTTCTTTGCCTTCAGGGCATATTACGCATTCCGGAGTCATGCAAAGCTGCCATATGCCCACTTGCGTACTAGCTGACGTTTGAGGGGGTATATCAACCACCCTTACCCAGTCCTGTAGGTCCGCTTGCTGTACTAACCTCCTGACCGTGTTGATCAATTCTTCCGAGATATATGGTGAGCAGAAAGGGATCTTTGCATCGGTTTCTGTAACCACACTGTCCCGAAATTAGCGATAAGGCGTAACAGCCTTTCCAACTAGCAGATGGGATAATGGCGGGCACATGAGTAGCAATCAGAAGATTTTCTCTCTATAGAGAAGTTTAACAGTCACTCGTGCTTCCTTTCAGTTTACGGCCTTCTATTAGCGACTTTCCTTAGATTAAATTTCAAAAGCACCCATAACCAGGATCAAGCATGGGGCGTGGCGCGCCACACCCGGGGGTCGTATTGCGGAGTCAGGGTGGGGGAGGGGGTCGTAATCGAGGTGTTATTGATGTTAACGATAACATGTTATTCGTTAGAAATGCCCATAATGCAGAAAACAAGCACACTGAGGTACTTATCTACCATCGTATGCATACAATAAGCATAATAAGGAAGCTTTAGAAACATAACAGCATCAATTTCATAATCAACATGCCAAGTGACCCCTTGGACAGATAAGGTTTCAGAGATTGGGCCACAGTGAGATAGTGATTTCCGAACATGTTAACTGCGTTTCAGAGTTGAGTTGGCTACTACTTCTTTGTTCACATTGGGGGAATCCCACTCCATAGCCGCGAAATTATAGAATTACGAACAAGCTAAAATTGCGTTTGTCCCAAAATTCGCTTTCGAATCTCAGACTAGAGAAGTCCCATCAAGCTCAAACCACTCTGTAGAGTTCAAAGTTTAGGCTATCGAATACATATACTTGCTGTCTTCGCTCGCGATCCACATGGTAGCGCAAACTTAGCGTGCTACCGTAATCCAATATCTTTAGGGCACGTAAAACGACTATATCTCGCTCTAAGAAAACGATTTTGAACGAAATTCTTGCTTTGTAGAGAATAGGTAATAGTGGCAATGTTATAAAAAGTACAAATACTTGATGCTTTGAAGGCAAGTTATTTGAGCCTGATTCATTTTCTTTAATCTTGTGTTTTTGCTGGGAGCAGAACATATCCTCGATCATAGAGCCATGCACTCTGGTAACTTCACTTTTAGCACCATGACAGAACACAAATATAGGGAATAATATCCTTACAATATCACAGCGAGATCGAAAAGTTGCGTTTTCGTAGCTTTTTTACGTTAAAAAGGTTGTAAAAAATTTTCACCAGAATTCAAGATAAAATCTTCCTCATAAACTCTTTTTAGACTACGATTAATTTTCAGAAGTTCACAAAACCTGTTTGAGTTGAATATAAAGGAGACAAACTCAAACTATGCGCAGAGAGACGCGCACGAAAATGTTGATTTGTCTCGTTAATGAGTTTTTTAGCGCTTGTCGTTGCCAGCGTCCTAGACGTGTAATGACCATCAGAATGATATATACAGGGGCTTTCAATCTGAGTGTCACGGCCAACGTGGTTCGTCATCTCGAGAGCCTTCTCGCTTGGGTCCCTCACGTGGTACATTACCGCCCCGATACCGTCAAGGCTTTAGCGGATGCGGGTTGTACCACTGAGAGACCCAAGCGAGACAGCTCGTGAGGACCTGAATCACGTCGACCGTGACACTCAGACTGAAAGCCCTTCAACGCAGGGATCGTTAAGACTCCGCGAAGATCTATGACTACAGCGAAATGCTCCGTCGGCTCTGGTCCTTCTCCCCTGATCGTCTGCGTCTCCGCACGTTGCGCGCTACCTCAAACGCGGGGCACGCGACATTTGGCTCTGGTGTTCTTTTTTTCGTTTTTTTTTTGAACACGATTCTAGCAAACCATATATCATATTAAAGTTCGTGGCCTCTTCTTTCACGCTGACAACGTTGCAAAACTCCATTTCTGATTAGAATGAGAAATCTGGCAAAAACTGCTTTCGAGGATCTCCTGTTTCTTCAGTACAGCTCAATTCACGCGGTTTTTTCGTGCACGATAGATCTTGCTTCTCTCTATAATGTAAACAACGTTGCAGATCTTAGCTCTTCGACTATGGCGGATTCTATTTTGTGATGTGAAAAATCGTAAAAAGTGCGTTTTCCTTCACCTTGCTCTCTTTCAGTGTTTTCGCAGCAATTTCTTCCCAACTTGAGCGATTATTTTCAAAATAATGAGCACAACAATCGAGACAACGTCGCAGGAAGATGGAACACCAATGCGAGGTGAAAATTCAAAGGACGCATCAAGAACTATTTTGACTTGGTAAACAAAGGTGCGTCATAACACTATTCTTTTCTTCTTGATAATCATACTTCCAAAACATGGTTGCGTTCGAAAGATTCACATAGAAAAAAATCAGCTTTTCCTCGTTTTTCTCCGTGTTGTGAATCGCCTGGTTCGAAAACCTACAACTCAAAATGCCGTCAAATAAAAGACTTCAAACTCGTCACAGCGTTTTCATACGGTTTTCAAGAATTTCTTTTACTTTTCCTATCTGTTCCGCATCTTTTTTCTTATCTGATTTTCTGTAAACAACCTTTACTTCTGACGACCTACCTCTCGACTATCGAAGGTCTTTGACCTCACGCTTTATCCGTACTACCTGCAGGAAGTGTTGAAGGTCTTCATGAAAAGATCATCTGATCCCCATTTGAACTCTCGTCCAAGCTTCTTTTCTAAAGCTGCCAGACGTTCTAAATTGATCCTTCACACGTCTTCTCCACACTAGACTGACAGATATGTGACTCATGCCCTGAAAACTCCTAGTGCCGAATGTAGCATTTCTCGCTTTAGAGTTTTTTTTTACATGCACAACATCAAATTTTTTATTAGGGTTCTGCGTCAAGATAATTTTACATAACAACAGACCTATCATCAATAGCCTTGAAGAGAAAACTCAGATACAGACCGTATGTTTCGAATGAATGTGACCAGATTTCAATTGGCGAATAACATCCCGGCCAAAAACACAAAAAGAACTGTGATGAGTACGTAATTACAAACTACCAACTAACTACTGACCAACATTGTGAACACTTGAGCAAAATGAAAGATCCTATCCCATTATTAGTGGTGACTGCCGAGGATTACAAAACTTTAAAAGGGATAAGAACATCAAGATTGCAAAAAGAAAAATTCATCGATTTCCCTTGGTAGAAAGCATCAAACTGTGACTCATGCGAGAAACTGCAAAATTATGCAGTCAAAACTGCATTGTGATCTCTTGCCCCTTCCCCATCAACTAAGCTCTGCAACTATAAGATTTAAGACAAGACTACCTAAGGTATTCTAGCTCAAATCTCTTACATTGTGCCATCCTCGCGATTCAGATTAGTAAAATTGGTCAACAATAAGCAAATTAGCTATATCAAGAGCACAGGGAGGAATATCACTCTCACTACTAAATTAACAACTTACAAGACACTGAGATAACACATATCAAACTAAACAGCGCAACAGCCTATGACAAATCTGTGTGAGGGTCAAAGAAGTAGTACACCTGCAAAGTCTCATTTTGTCATAAGAACGACAAAAATCGCCATTCAAATAGATCCACAATCTTCTTTAGAGCTTCTTCTTCTGCAAATTGAGGTCCGCTGGAGGCTCCACTGCAATAGATAAGCAATAAATCACGGATAAAAAGATCTCGAATGCAATTTGCGCAAGATGTCTTTCGCTCATGCTCATGCATCACTCCATGCACACATGCAAAAAATGCGATCGCTGCTCACCAGACCAGAAACTCAAGAAGTTACACTTCGCTACAACGTTTCACGATAGTTAAAACATGCAAATGAAGAAATTTGACTATGGCAGCTGATGCTTCAAAAGGATTTCGCAAACTGGCTATTCAGCACGTAACCTAGGCAGTTTAAACTAAGAGTTACTTATTCTTAGATGCACTCACTCATATTTAAAAATGATGCAATAAACTCTGTTACCTGTTACCTAATCAGAAGGCCTATGTAGCTAACAAAAAAATATCCACAGATACACGCACCATACTTGATTCACCTCGCTATTATTCAAATCAAACATCTCTCCATTGGTCAAATCAGTGACCTGGCCAATAGCGAAGCGCATGTGTCCACCTGATCCACTTCGCTATTGGTCAGTTCACTGATTTGACAGATAGAAAGTGAATACAGTAATCAAGCATGGCATGCCGAAGACCTGTATATAGATCCCTGCTCAGAAATGACTGGAGATATCACAAAGAAACGCGATCTCGTTTTATGACGGTCTTTACCCCAGATGCTATGGCCTGGCCTAGTCTTAGACGAAAGCGGCTATCCATTCAAGCGATGCAGACGCGGGCGTTAAGGCTCTAATGATGGAAAACAAAATTCGCTTCGCTTCGTACCATAGACCAGCCGAGTTCGTCAGGGACCACCTTTTACCTACTAAAAGCTCAAGCTACCAAAGAACCTCAACTAACGACAAACTATACATTATTGGCAAGTCACAGCAGGCAGAGACTGGGCGCACCGCCTACGGCTGAGACGATTGGAAGAAACAGCAAAATGCGACGGAGATAAAAGCTTTTGACCAGAAACGCTAACGGAAGAACACAGCGAAACCCTTTCCCTGCATGCGTGAATCGCCTATAGCTTCCAGGTCACCATTCCAAGAAATGAATGTTCACTTCTAAGGCACGCGCCATACTTGATCCGCTCAATCCACTTGATCCGCTTGCCCCGCTTCGTCATTGGTCAATTCAGTGAACTGACCAGTAGTGAAGTGGATGAAGTGGATCAGGCAGATGAAGTGAACAACCGCTTCGCTATTGGTCAGTTCACTGAATTGACCAATGACGAAGCGGACCAAGCGGATCAAGTATGGCGCATGTCTAAGCATTCACTGCCTTGTCATGAGCTTAGCAATTAGTTTTCTCGCCGGAACTTGATACTCTTGAAAGGAACAACACTAACGCAACACAACAAGACAAGGTACACTACACAAAATTCATGCATAGTCACATCGACAGCAGAGATGAGCTTACCCATCTATAGCAACGCATTAGACGCAACAATCGTCTGTGCCGATACCGTACGGACCACACCAGAAGAGGAAAACTCTCATCTAATTCTCTAGAGTTATGTCAAACCAGGTTTATGTCATCAAACCAACTCATGATGATTATTACATACTATAAAATAAGTTATGATACGAAAAAGACAATTATAAATAGATAAAACTGTGCGACACTGAGAGGAAAAAAAGAAAACATAGGAAACGAGACGGGACGAATGAGACTCAACTCGCCCGTTTTAAATCACTCACAACCATGAAGTAGTTTGTTATTGAATAATCAACAAAATCTAAATCCTATTGCAGGCGATCTGTTATTGGAGCACGCCATCGATTTTGGCAAATTTACTGGGTGACAAGATAATTATGGACATAGAAACAACTGAAGACGTGTTGACGGCGGTAAATTGTGCTCGTAAAAAGAGCAAATAAATAGAGAAACCAGATCAGCTTGAGAAAGCCGTTAACAGGAATGAGACATACGGAATACACACAGATGTGACAGATGTGACGATGATCAAACAGAACAATAGGTGAGAAGAAGCAGAGGAGGAGCAACAGGAAGACGCAAAAGAATCCCGCAAACGTATCACCCGAACGCCACAAGCTCGGCCCGCCGTCAGAATTATTCAAACATGGTGGTGTGAACGACTTTGGGACATTTATTTTGGGCATTTTTGACAGAGCTCAAAAGCTTGGAGCAATTTTGCCTAGGATTCTGTTAGGCCTGGGGCATAGTGCTCGCGTTTTCACCGCCTCGCGATTCTCCAGACAAGACAGCTGTACGAGTTTATTGCATGCTGATATTCTTGCATTTCGCTTGTGATAGTTAGTCGCGATTAGTCGGGTCGCAAAACTACCACAACCAAAATGAAGTGATGCATTAAACTCAACATGTCTTGTTAGAAAAATCGCGAGGCGATGTCGTGAGCGCTATGCTCGAGGCCTTAGCTGGTGAGACGCTGTCAGACCAGTCTTCCAAGCTCAGACGTTCTCAATACATCCCAAACAAACCCAATAAAAATCTCTAACACTCTTGAGCTCCTCTCCCTAGTAAAACTGAAACGACAAGAAAGGCGCTTTGCGAACCCCAGACTATGCACAGCTGTCGCATATTGCATGAGCATACTTAAATAGAAAATAAGAGACATACATGAAGTGTGTGAATGACACCATAAGGTTCAAAAGCATCTTCCGTCGACGATCAGTGATAACAACAGCATTCCATTCGGATTAGTGGGGGTGTAGGAGGCAAACAACATCACACGTTTTTATAGATATAGTAGGTTAACAAACAGCATTTAGGGTGCTGCGGTTAGAGTTAGATATCACTAGAACTCTTTGTGTAGAGGCAATGAGGAAGTCAATGAAACATTGAACACTCGATCAATGCTTGCTGAGTATGGCCCTAACATCCAGCCAAAATAGGCACAGCAAAGACCAAACAGGCCAGCTAGTGTAATGGCAGCTCGTATATTTGCTGCGCGGGTTTCCAGCTTACCGTCGACGTAGTTGCGCGCGATGAATTTGAGTACTTCGTCGAGGAGAATCACAGGGAACGAGATCTTCAATACAGCTATCCATTCGACCACACTTAGCGGCGTGATCTGCAAAACATAACTCCATCAGCACAAACATTAAATGCTCCCATAAATGATAGACGATATTCATCAATTCACATTTCCATTAAATGCACAAAATCTTATGTGTATAGAACTAGTCCCAGAAGATGGCGGTTGGGCATAAGGCGATGCGTTTGCGGTGCTGACAGCTCTGATGACAACGCTGGACCGTTGCATTCGCAACCGCTTCGCAAATTGAACCACTGCCCTCGAGGACTAGCCTATAGCAAATGAATGTTCCAACAATTTTGAGGAAATATTTCAGAAATCGAGAAAGCGCTTTAAAATGAAAGGTCTGCAGATTTCTCAGCTTTTCTTAGCAAAGTTTGGCAGCTTGTCACCCAATATAAAAGCAAAATCATCAAGCAAAGTTCTACGAATTCTCCACTTTGACTGTCTTAAAAATCCAGATAAAAGAAAGAACGTACCTGGAAGATCGTAGACATGATGTCGACGTACAGGATAACAAAGTGGAGGGACATTGAGAGCGCGATGGCTGAGCACAACCACATATTCGACCATGGTGGCATCACGAACAACGATTGGTTTTCAGACAAGCTGAAGTAATCGCTCGTTTATAAAGGTAAACAAGGTCCCAAAACAGAACGTACGAATTCAAAGCGTTCAACATCTCGATGGTTACCAATACAGACAAGGCCATGGCATTAGGATGATTGTCCTCAAACACAGCGCAATCCAAATCGGTGAAGTTTTCGGGTTCAATCTATAAGATGCATTAGCAAGTTCAATAATATGAACGCAATTTCTTCTGTACCTCGCATCTCATCCAGTGGGTAAGCTGATAGTAGGTAATCTGAGGTCCATCCTCGTACAAAAGGAACCACCACATAGCTGCTCCAACAGTGGCAACTCCGACATAGGCTGCAACAAAAGGTTTAGCGCAAAAAACTCGTAGGATTTGAGAGTAACTTACTTCCGACAGCTAGATACCGGAAGAATAGCCATTTCGAGATCAAACTCTCGCTAGCCGATCGTGGATGTCGTTCCATGATGTCCAAGTCGGGTGGGTTGAAGCCCAAAGCGGTAGCTGGCAGACCATCAGTGACCAAGTTGACCCACAACAGTTGTACGGGAATCAGAGCTTCCGGAATGCCGATAGCTGCTACCAGGAAGATAGACACGACTTCTCCGACATTGGACGAGATAAGGTATCGAATGAATTGCTTCATGTTGTTGTAGATAGCGCGACCTTCTTCTACAGCAGCCACAATGGAAGCGAAGTTATCGTCAGCCAGGACCATTTCTGATGCAGATTTGGCCACAGCAGTTCCTGATCCCATAGCAATTCCAATTTCGGCTTTTTTCAAAGCAGGAGCATCGTTCACACCATCACCAGTCATGGCAGTAATCTGCAAACATTCGTTACAGACATCAAAATAATTAATAGACCTACTGACAGAGCGAAAACGCTTCAAAGTGAAAAAAAGCATGGTTCCAAGCGCACTCACCTCTCCATGGCTCTGCAAAATGTCGACAATCTTGGACTTGTGTGCCGGCTCTACTCGAGCAAACAACTTAGCGTGTCGGCAAGCTTCAGACTGTTGCTCTGGTGGTAAATCGTCAAATTCACGGCCAGTGAATGCCTAAATGCCCGTAGATGATGGAGTCTGGATTAAAAGTTTCAACACAAAATGATTTTCACTGGAAAATTCATTGCGACTTACCAATCCTGTGGTATCCTCATGCTCTTCGAACAGTCCAATACGTCTACCAATGGCTTCAGCTGTGTTCTTGTTATCACCAGTAATCATGATGACACGAATACCAGCATGATTGCACTCCTTGATCGAGCTCATGACCTTAAACAGCGAAACATTGAACTCTTACAAACTCAGAAGAAAATCTCAAATCTCACCTCAGTTCGAGGAGGGTCAAGCATTCCGACGACACCGACAAAGGTGATATCGCGTTCATACTTCACAAACTGCGTAGCTTCTTCAAGATTCATGTTTTGCTGAGGTATTGGGTTATCAATCGTCCCCAGAGCCAAGCATCGCAGTGTGTCGCGACCAGTACCATACTGTACGCATTTGTCAACGATCTTCTGGGTCATGGCTTGCGTGAGGGGCACTTTTTGGTTGTTGACACGGACATGAGTGCAGCGGCCAAGCACTCCTTCTGGAGCTCCTTTCACGAACATTTTGGCACCGGATCCGCCGGTTGCAGGAATACAATACGATGACATGGATTTGCGATCACGGGAGAATTCGAGAGTGAACTCCTATAAAGTAAAATCTTGAAAAATGGGCATATATGTCGAAAGAAGAAAAAGATACCTTCTTCCATTTTTGCTGGATGACACGATTACACACATTGCCCAAGTCACGGGGTGACAGACCAGATTTGGGGGTTCCATAGACGTTCATCTTCTCAGCTAAGACAACAAGGGCAGTTTCGGTGGCCTCTCCTACCTAAACAACTGGTATATGAACAAAATTTCTCTAATAGCAGAAAACAGAAAGAATATGAAACTAGAGCTCCAAAGCTAGAATTCAAGCTCAAAAATGCCACAGCTGCAAGCTCACCTTCTCATAGACTTTCTTGGTATCATTGTAGTCGACAGCTGAGTCGTTGCACATCGCACAGATCGTGGCCAACTCAGTCAATGCATCAAAATCTCCGCTAGCACAGTTGATCTAAAAATTTTCAGGTAGCAACTAAGAATATAATGAGCCAGTCCCACCCACCTCTTTGTCGTTGTAGAAAACTTTTCCAGATGGTTCATAGGTAGATCCAGAGATAGTGAACTCATTGAAGTTGATGTTGTCGCCAGATGCCGATTCGACAATGAACATTTTGGACACAGACATTTGATTGGTTGTCAGAGTGCCGGTCTGGAGCAGATATTTTATTCTGCAGAATTGAAACTTCCAGAATGGTAGGCTTACCTTATCGGAGCAGATTACAGAGGTACAACCCAAAGTCTCGACAGATGGCAGCGATCGGACAATCGCGTTCTTCTTCGCCATTCTTCGAGTTCCAAGTGCAAGACAGGTGGTAATGACAGCGGGAAGACCTTCGGGAATGGCGGCGACAGCCAAGGCAACAGCAATCTAGGAAATCCCATTTAGCAGCAGTATAGGGCAGATAACAAAGAATTACCTTGAAGTAATAGATAGCTCCTTTGATCCATGAACCACCATGAGCGGGGTCGTTGAAATGGCCAATGTTGATAGCCCATACAGCGATGCAGATAATGGAGATTACCTAAGAATTGCGAACATATGTGAGGGAAACGATAAAGAAGAAGCACTCATGCAAGAAGGAACGCCAGTTGTCTGATTGCTAGATGAAATTTTTGAATATCAAATCCTTGCAAATTTGTGTTCACCGCTTGATACGAACTTCATTGTGACAAAAAAGGGGGAACTTCCTCCTCGATTATCACTAGTTCTAATAAAAACAATGGACAAGCACACCAAAACTGCGCCTGTTGATATCACTCAAACAAACTTGTACAAAACCCATAACTTGTAAAGTAGCGTTTAATGCTTTGTCAACACCAATTTGTTGAATATAAAGTAACCACCTTGCGTGAGATTTGTCGAGAGCCCTCTTTACACTCTAACAGCTAAAGTGCCCGTTTAACATTCACCACAAACCATTCATTACTTACTTTTGACAACTGTTCACCGAACTCGTCAAGTTTCTGCTGCAACGGCGTCTTGTCGCTCTCGGTTTCAGCCATTTCCGTTCGGATTTTACCGATTTCAGTCATCAGTCCGGTACCAAACACAATTCCGCGAGCCTAAATAGCAGAAAATCAATAACCGTAATGACTTCAGCAAGATCTTACCTTTCCTGAAGCCACATTTGTACCGGAGAAGAGACAATTCTTCTTGTCTTGATTCACAGCACGTGGATCAGGCACGGATTCGGTGTGCTTGATTACTGACACAGATTCTCCGGTCAGGATGGACTGGTCAATTCGTATGGTGGTCGAGTAGATTTTCAATAGTCGCAGATCAGCTGGGATTTTGTCACCAACTAAATGATCACTGTTATATCACGGGGAATAACACAAATCTGAAGACAGAGCGTAGAATTTCTGACATCAAAAACATATACCGTCTGCACCCCAGAGATGTTCCCATGTGAACCAGCGTGCGTACATGGTGCGACGCTGCCTTTCGCTCTTTTTGACACGTTTCTCCAGAGATTTCAACGGCAGTGCCCGAGGTTAACACGTTCAATAACACGTTCAAAAGTGCGAAAGGCAGCAAGATGACGTGGTACCTATGGGAACCTCTCTGGAGCGCAGACGATACAAAATAAAAACCCAAAAATACTTCTACATGCTTCAAACTTCCTGTATTTCCTCTAAACATCATTTTGAAGAAGAGATAAAACTATGATACTAGATTGTCCACTTACCAGATACTTCAACGAGATCTCCAGGAACAAGATCTCGAGCTCGAATCATTTGAATACCATGGGTACCCGCTCGAACCACTTTGGCCATTTCCGGTTCATATTCTTTCAAAGCTTCTATAGCCGATTCCGCATTCCGTTCCTGTAAGCATAGTCATATAAGACAGCCATAAGAGGCTAGAAACTCAATAATCCCTTTGTCATACCTGCCAGACACCGACTGTGGCATTTGCGATAAGAATAAGCAGAATAACGAAAGGTTCGACAAAGGCGGTAACTGCAGAAGTTTGATCGTCATGTTCTTCGAATAGAGCTAAGACCTGAAATATTATAAATCGAAATTTGCAATAGCACAAAGAATGCACGAGTTTCTTTTCCAAAAATCAAGAAAAGGGATTTGTCGATAACAAGATGATGGAAGGACCAGAAACAAGCATTTGTTAGCAATGCGCAGCTGTCACACGAGAGATGTGCAGAAAGAAACGACAGCAGCAGCCGCGCAGTAACACGGATCTGAGGATTCGAATCGCTTGACGATAAATGTTGAAAAGTAAGAAAATCTTTCCGTTTTCGCTGAGCGACCGTAAGTCAGATGTTTTTGAGATATTCTGAACGAATGTGCCAACATAAAATAAACCATAAGCAGAAGAAACAGCGAACGAAATTATGGATGACACAATATTCTTAAATTACTCGATGGAGTAATAAAAATGATGGAATTTGAGAAGTGAGCAATGCGAAACTGTGGTAAGCACATAAATGCGCTTTAAAAAGACTTACAAAAGAAATGATAGCAGCGAGGAGAAGAATCTTCACAAGGAGATCATCAAATTGTTCGAAAATCAACTCCCAAATGGATTTTCCTTCTTCGGCAGGCATTTCTGGAACAAATTTCTGAGTTGCTTTTAACAGACCGTTTCAATGAAATTTATCTTCCCATCATCTAAAGACCAATCTTTCATATGCAAACATTGCCGCTATTTTGCAAAGTCCACAAATATCGCACTTGCGCAGAGAGCTACCTCAAACAAAGCAGTGACTTATCCTGTCATTTTCCAGCCATGAAATCAAATATTACATTTTAAGCGCATCTAGCACTTTCTGCCATCGTCAATCGTCTCGCGTCTCAAAAAAAACTTCATTCGCAGAACAACCTTGACCTCATGGTTAGTTTACCCACTTGAAAGATTGCGCTATGACAACAACAACAATCAGCTCTGCGCAAACAATGCTCAACAAAGATTTCATCCGGTAAACATTACAAATCAAGGATACACGATGCAACCAACCATTGTAGCCATATTTGGCTCGTTGAGCTTCTATTTGGCCGTCAGTCAGCCCATCTTCGCCCACATTGAAGAAACGGCAAATCTAAAGTTTTTGCTCTAATTGAGCATAAGAGTTCAACAAGGGCAAGAAAAGATTGCAACGATAAATTATCATGCAAATCACCTCTTCGCCCGACTTCGTGTGTGCATCTTCCATTTCGGCGTCAATTCACCCAAGCGGATGGAAAGGCCGTCCGGATCTGGAAAGATTGTGTTGGCAGTAATGAGTTGTCAGTTGCTCTCGAGATACACTACACTCGCAAAAGTTCGGCAAAAAGCCTCGAAGAACTCGACAAAGACGAATTCGAGGCGTTATATGATGAGAAGAAGAGTTAGAATGTGTAGAAAAGTCAAAAGACTGAAAACGCACCGAACAAAGTCGCAAAAGATCAAAATACCTGACACAAATTGAAAAAAATGGCGACAGAAGGGGATTCAGATACTATATTATAGATTTATAGATGCGTTTACACTTTAACATGATTGGTCTACGTGATCTACAGCTATTGATCAAAAACTACCGGAATGTCCACGAAACAAGCGGTCACTATCGCCAATGACAGCGTCATCGGTCGTCAGCACTTCGCGACATTTTACGGTAATCGTGGCGGGAGCCTAGCGCTGACGCGAAAGCAATCCTTTAGTGGCGCGTAATTCGTGCTGAGCAGGTTGAAGATGCCAAGGGTCCTGACAAAGCGCAAAATGTGCGTGTGTGTGCGTGATGTTAAGCGAAGCTTAGCACAACGTTTTGTTCCCGGATGAGGGGCGTGACTGACGCGGCAGCAGCAGTAGCGCCGTTAGCAGCCAGCAACGAGCAGCAGCAGAAAGCCAACTGTCTCTTCGACGAAGTCTCTCTTCGCTCGCTGGCGCAAGCACGAGTTGGCAAGAGCGAAAAAAGAAGGGAAACGAAAGAACCGAGAAGTCTTTCTGTCATACACCGCCGAAGGCGAACATATGTTAATGACGAAATAATTTTTCTGGAAATTCCTGCGAAGAGTTTTTCGTCGAAGAAAACGTTTAGGTATACGAGTTTCAGAGGCACTTTGCATGTGAGGCGATTATTCTTCCGACACAGTCCATTGAGTTTATGTGTATTGAGGTTATGCGTGTGATCGTTGAATAGGGAACTTCATCGTCGAGTCGTTTCTAACTGAATGTGCGTAGTGCACATCAATGTCAAGTAGATTCAAAAATTGCTATGATGAGAAAGCTGGCACAAAATACTAAGCGGCAGCATAGATTCGCACCAAACTCTTCGTGTAAGTGTAATTGCACATTTTCCGGCTTGATTACTGACGATGAGATGCACCCATCCTCATGCGTTCAAATCGAGCATGGAATACCAAGAAAGGACGCAAATTCTCGTAGCACGCAAAGACTGCGGACGTATCGGCGTCTCTCTGACCGAGCGCTTTTTCGTTTCTCTTACCATCTACTGTCTCCCCCACCCGAACTAGCTCGGTCAGACGCAACGACGCCCTCTCGTGTTATGAATCACGTATACAAATTCTAGTTGCGTTGGCTATTTTCCATACATGTTCATGAAATTTTCGGAGATCAGTGTTACATTTAAAGGACAAAAACTGTGAAAAGAAGCTGAGAAGTGTTATTCATGAGATGTCATACTCATAACCAGCGATTCCGAGATACGCGCAAAGGTGGTGTGTGGTGCATGGTGTGTGCATTCACACATACTGGGATACGAAGTGACTCGACTATGTTCGAGAGGTTTGCGCGGACGGCGCTCGCTTGCTTTTCACGTAAGAACTCTAGAGCCTGCATTACGAATGATTGCCTGATTGCCTCGTGTTTCAGCAGATTATCGTGCTCATGTTAGGTGGCACAACACCTTCTGTTGTGCTGTTGTTGATAAACATATTGGTGCAAAGAGCGTGCTGATGCAAGCCTCATCTAATTTCAGCATAAGTTCGCTAAGCACACACTTCTAACAGAAGAAAATGCGCAAAGTCTTGGAGCGTTGCAATCTCCTAGATCTGCTAATTTGTTTTTTGTTGTGTGCGATCGCGTGCTATTTTCATATGCAGAAAATAATCATAATATTTATCATTCATTCTCTGACAAGGAGACGCGAGCACGCTTTGTGTACACCTCATTAAAGGCAGCGTACACCCAAAACAAATGCAACAGATGTTGCAACAGCAACTGCAACTGCAATTGCAGCTTACGCTATTATGGATTCGTCCGGAGGAGGCGGAGCGAAAGAAAAGGGGCGGCGTGAGAGAAAATTGAGGGGGGTTTTCTCCGCTCAGAAGCAACACTGGGAGACCGGACCAACGCAGTTGGTCTTCTTCTGAGCCCAGTATATACACGGTGTAGAGAAATCTAGAAAATTAGGCAACTTAGATTTTGGGTGTACGCTGCCTTTAACAAGTTCATGAATGAGTTTCAACGAGTTCTGCTTAATTTCTATCTATTTTGTTTGAGCTCGTTGGACCACGTTCGCTTGAACACGTTCTTTCACGAATTCCTGATAGAAATCAAGCAAAACCTTGAAACTCATCCTTGAACTTGTTAATGAAATGTACGCAAAGCGTGCTCGCGTCTCTTAGAGAATGAATGATATATCGTCTGCACTCCAGAGAGGTTCCCATGTGAACCAGCGTGCGTACGTGGTGCGACGCTGCCTTTCGCTCTTTTTGACACGTTTCTCCTGAGATTTCAACGGAACTGCCCGAGGTTAACACGTTCAAAAGTGCGAAAGGCAGCGAGATGACGTGGTACCTATGGGAACCTCTCTGGGGCGCAGACGATAGGTCTTTTACAGAGTACGGTAGATTCATTATTAGCGTAACTTGTGCATTGCATAAGAAGCCCGATATTTCGCGTCTCATGCTTAAAAGTTGCCAATTTCCGAGAATTTACCTTTAATACTTCCTTCTTGAGGAAAGTAGTCATGAATATAGATGTAAATAGTAATTACCAATAAGTGGCGTGAAGTGCAGCGCGCGGCGTGCAGTTTCACAAATTAATTTACAACTGACTCCGCTATGTGAAGTTTGACAGCCCGAGAACCCGAGAGGAAAGAAGTAAAGGTATATGCTTTTGATTTCCGAAACGTAAGAAAGCACACGAACTATGTATGAAAAAACGAAGACGAACTCAGAGAAGTTACACGTAGAAATTTGAGGCATCTCTCCTCACACAAGCGAAGGAGCAAAACAGATGGAGTGCTAGGCAGTGAATGAAGCGTGCGACTCGGTACAAATTCCGGCCTAAGGCCCGACTGAAGAGAAAGATTACGGCCAATTTAAAGCTCAGAAACATCTGTGTGCTTGATGAATGATCAAATGAAAGAGCCGATTGGCATCAAGCGCGTATCACGTCCTCCACTCACACAAACGAAAAGCTCTCTCAGACAAGGAAGAAGATTAAAAAAAAGCTGAGTCTTCTACGAGAATTGCTAATTCATAACAGAAAAATTTATACATCCAAAGGTCTTTTTTGTGCGAAACAAACAGAACACATTAGGATCGAGTCCATAATATGAAAAAAGAGGAGTGGACTTGTCAGAACTTCACAGAGAGTGGTCAACCGCACCGCGTGTCCGCGCTCCGTAATGACGGCCGTTCCGTGCGATCAGCGACTCGACAGTACACGTCACCTAGTTTTCAAATCAAACGTGCACTGGTACTGACAAGGTTTAGGACCTTTGTTCTACACCAAAGTGAACAAGTCTGTCACGGTGGAAGCAATACATCATTCAAAATATATAAAAATAGCCACTAACAAAGTTCAGTTGTAATTTAGTGCAAGCATTTGATAACATGATTTTTGGTGCAATTGCACTAGACAAATCACATTGATGACAAGCGTATAGCTACTTCAAAAGGGCAACCAGGGAAACAACTGCTCTCTAATTTCACGGAGATAGTTTAGAGGTTGACATGAGAATTTAGTAAAAAAAGATTTAATGAATTACACTTGCTTAATGTATGATGTTGGCTGCACGAAAGCCGCACCGCCTTTATGGGCGCGATGCGTGTTTTGCCTTGTGGTTGAACAAGGTAAAGATTGGCACTTCATTTGTACCGATATTTTTTCTGAGAAAATGAATGCTTTACCACTTATTGTCGAGACATTTGTAACTTGATATGCCATTGCACACCACATGCGATATTTCATGAGTTGTTAGATTCAAGCATTTTCATTTCCAGAAAATTTCCCTTTTCTTCTTTCTCTTGTAGTAGCACACGTTTCCACAATTTGTTCGTTAGAAAAGGTTTGTACCAGCGAGTTACTAGTAAAATGTCGTCAGGTCCCGCACGCAATGTGCAGGACCACCTAATAACTTACAAATGACTCGCGCATATTTATTGCGGCGTTCTTGTTCGAAAGATATGATAGCTGTCAACTGGATTTTTTTCCTCGGTCCCTAGAGTTCAACAAGCGGACCAAAGGCCGTTGGGTGCGAAGGGCGCAAGCAATGTTTTTCAAGTGTAAAACTATTTGTAATGTAAGCACTACATAACCGCAGGTATACGGTGGTTGGAAAGCTCGGAAAGTGATTGAAAAACAAACAGGAAGTGAAGAGGACTTGCAGAAAGCACGGAAAAGATTGCAGTGACTTACAGTGAATAGCTCAACTATGAATCTCCATCAAATTCCATGGAATGGCAAAGTAAATCAACAAAAGGTGTTGGCGAGAGCTAGCACGCAGAGACTGGGTGCCGTCGCATACCAGTAAGGTAGTTTGTGCATGGAAGAGACAACAGACGGTAAGAGAAGTTAGATAGCGCCCGATTGAAGAGACGCCGACAGCGTTCGCAGCAGCGTCATGTCTCTGCGTGAGCGAATCCTTGAAAGCCTTCAATTATAAGGTTTACCGTCGGTTGATTTATCGCTTTCTATCTGCCATTTGCACTTTTTTGCGCTTGGAGTGCTATTGGAGCAGTAGGCTAGGTAATGCTTATTCTAGCTCTTTGGCGGCTTTTTTTCAGTCGCAGGCTTGATTTGAACTCAAACAAAGCGACGTTTCATTGTTTTCAATGACTTCAATCGCTGACATTATGACAAGTTTTTCTACCGACTGAATTACGTAATCTGTAAACAAACTAGCTGCAGGAGGAAGAGGAAAAGATTCCTGGTCGCAAAGAACCCGGATGTCCGGACTTCAGAGAAGGAAGGATTATAGAACCAGTGAAGGAAGAAGTGCTAGTGAAAATTACAATAAAAGTCATGTTTGGATTACAG